GCGTTCATTATGGTAAGCAAAGCTACGTGTATATTTTGTAAGCACTTTGAGCCTTTGCACACTATTCGCTGAAAAAGCAACTCGCTTGCCACTGAAGCCACCGCTACAGAATTTCACTCCATCGCACGTTCATTCCAAGTGCCAATTAACCAGCTCGCGTGTCACTCAAATGCACATGTTTTCCAGTCAAACTTATGAAATACCAAGTAACTATTAACATCGCATTATTTCATGGTGCGTGACATGAAACCCTTCTGGGTCACAATGGAATTTGCCGATACATTCGCAACTCTCGTCTCACGGTCGATGCAACACGGCCCCTGTGTTCCTCTACACGACGGCACTTGCGTGCACAAGAGTCGCGGTGGGCGATCACAACAGACTTCCCGTGCTCGTGCAACGAGTAATCAAGCATTTGTCGACGTCATAATCGCTCGCAAGCGAGCTCCTTCTCACCGCGTTTTTGTAGCACGAATGTTCTGTACAAAGATGTGGGCCAAGTGCCGAAGAAGGCATCGCTTCTCAGCCTTTTGGCTAAGATCAAGTGTGCAAATTTAGAGCTCTGTGATTTTGGAATATTTGAGGATGAAATACTAACTTTGGAACAGTGAAATACATATCAAAATACTCGCAAGGGTCTTCTCTAGTGAATGAGAGCGTGTATGTTTCCACTGCCTTGGAAAGGAGCACGAAGCGAACAAATGCCCAAAATATGTTCAGGAATACCCAGGTTTAGGTGAGTCAATGGGTAGGGAAACCGACCAAACAACAGCCAATAAGAATGAAACCCAACGTGAGGAACCAAACAACCCTAACGAAGAAACCCCAACCAATCAGACAGGAATATCCACTGTGCAAGAAAAGCAGAATACCCAAGTCAACCAGAATGAATGTACCACTACAATGGAAGGAATACAAATCAAAGGCACAAAGATAGCCCGGAAACCCAAACAGAAATACAACCAACCACAACCCAGGGAGACCCCCCAACAGTGATGAAACAAATAGACACATCAAACCCTCCATCCCAGGACCCATCACAATGAAGGCAATGAAAAGGATGAACTTGAACAAATCTCCCGGACCAGATGGGCTAACCACCAAGTTCTACCAGACCTTTTGGGCCGAGTTGGCAGACGATTTAGTCTAGCTATTCAATACCAACTACTGGAGCAGGACAATGACAATGTCACAACGTGAATCACTTTTATTCAAGACTTTTATTCAAGGACCGATGTGATCTACTTACCAATTGGAGACCAATATCCCTCCTCAACACTGATTACAAGATACTTTCGATCTTATTAGGCAGCCAACTTAGACCCACCCTCACAGAGGTAATACAGGAAGACCAGATGTGCAGCATCCCCGGACGGACTATCTTCGACAGCGTTCTACAGTTGAGAGACATAGCTCATGAGGCTACAGCCAAAAATCTCAATCTGATATTGATCAGCCTGGATCAAGAAAAGGCATTCGATAGAGTGAACCGGAACTTTCTAATTAAAATCATGAAGAAAATGAACTACGGCCCTACACTGATTAGGTGGATCGAAACCCAATATGCTGAAGCCAACTGCCGGATAATGAACAACGGCTGGTTATCTGATCCAATACACCTGGAACGCGGAGTATGACAAGGGTGCCCCCTGTCATCTTCGATAGAGTGAACCGGAACTTTCTAATTAAAATCATGAAGAAAATTAACTACGGCCCTACACTGATTAGGTGGATCGAAAGCCAATATGCTGAAGCCAACTGCCGGATAATGAACAACGGCTGGTTATCTGATCCAATACACCTGGAATGCGGAGTATGACAAGGGTGCCCCCTGTCATCCCTCCTTTACACCATGGTTATCGAGGCTCTCTCAAATGCGATTAGGAAAGACAACAAGATCGAAGGTATCACCGTCCTGGGGACCCCTAAAGAAAGTAAGATCTCGGCATATGCTGACAACAGAACCTTGACGTTGAAGAATGACTTGTCCATAACAAGAGTTTTCGATCGGATAAGCAATTTTGAAAGAGCGAGTGGGAGTAAACTTAACATGAAGAAAACAGAATGAATTTACTTTGGACAACAAGCGGGCAGAGAACACGGTCCAGTACCAATTAACAGTTATTACCAATTATTACCAATTTATGACACCATATGAGCATTAGTAACTACCATCGGGAATGACACACAACAGGACTGGGAAAAAGTCGAGAAGACCCTCGAAAGATGGGCAGCATGGTAACTAACACTGAAAGGGAAATCGGTGATGTTACGAACATATGCAATAGCGACAAACACATACTTGGCAAGTATGTTCTTGATACCGGAAGCAATAGTAACAAAACTTCATTGGGCATGTTTTGTGTTTCTTTGGAGCCAACAGAATGAACTGGTGTCCCGAGAAACATGCCACCTCCCAATGTGCATATGTCCACCCACCACCACAGTTCCAAGCGACTTGGAGCACACTATGGTCCTCACCATCTGAGAACAAGGTGAAAGAGTTTCAGTGGAGACTGACTCACTGAGTTTTGACTATGAAGAGTTACCTCAGAAAGTGGGGAATGCAAATAAACCCGACATGCCCATATTGCCAACATACAGAAGATACACACCATGCCATCGTAAATTGCCAGACAGCACAAGAGTTGTGGAGTGATATTCAGCCACTGCTGATGGACATAGCCAGACAACCAATCAAAACAGACATGGAAACCCTTGTCTTCCATCGCAACCTCCCAAATGACGACCAGGCGAAAGAGATCTGTCATTATGTTCTGGCAACGGCAGCCGAAGCGCTATGGCACACCAGAAATAAGAAGGTGTATGACAGTACCTACCGATTGGGCAACATGAAGAACAAAGTAATTGGGGTAATCAATCTCGCATGTGCGAGAGAACCGCAAGAGTCCCGGTGGGCATCACAACGGACTTGCCGTGCTCGTGCAATGAGTAATCGAGCGTTTGTCGATGTCATAATCGCTCGCAAGCAAGCTCCTTTTCACTGCGTTTTCTATAAGTGTTTTGTAGAAATATGTGGGCCAAACGCCGAAGATGGCATTGCTTCTCGGCCTTTTGGCTAAGTCAGGAAGTTCTTTGGAGCATTTGGAATACTGTGGTTCTTGTTGACATAAGGGAGCTTTTGCTTGGTTAAAATTTGTTTTAACACCTAGTCAATGGTTACTTGGTTTTTGTTGTTATCTTATCTTGGTCCTATTTTCTTGGTCCTGTCGCCTTGGTCCTGCCGCCTTGGTCTGGTCGCCTTGGTCTGGCCGTTTCGGTCTTGTCACCTTGGTCTTGCTGCTTTGGTCCTGTCGCCTTGGTTTCTGGCCTTATCTTTGTTGGCTTTCATAGGTTTGGCACCTATTCTGTGAGTGTGTTGTATACAGTGTGTGCACCACAAGTATATTGTGGTTTTATATAATATATTAGGAGGTTTGAGTTTTCTGGTTGTTCCTAATCCAGGGGCCCTATAGGGGGTAACTGACGGGAGGGGTCTTCAGGACTTTTCGTTTTGTTGATTGGGGGGTTGTGCTTGGTGATCCTTCAATAGCCAGTTTCAAGTTTAGTGTTTTATTGTCCTTACAGTGTGTACACACTATTATACTTACTTAATTATTGATTTGTTGCATTTATTGCTTCAATTCATACCATATTGTTTTATATACTACCTACCTTCTTCTAAGTATGATTCCTTTTATTAATCATACTGCAGATGTTATACTGCATTGTGAAATTGAGGCTCGCGATGTTAATGTTCGCGAAGTCATTGAAGATTTCTGTGGTCAGGTAGATTCTTACACGGATATATTTGAGGCGGTCGTTTTGATGGCGCCTGGTCGATATATTTGAGGCGGTTGTTCAAAGTGCATGTAAATTAGAAGTGGCCGAAAATTTTGGTTTTACTGTTCGTGGTTTCCCGCATTACTTTTAAGCCGGTCTCGCTTTTTAAATGGGTTAATATTACTTGTCTATCGTATGGTGTCCCGGATGAAGAAATATCAAAAGTATCGAGTGTTTATGGTCCCATCAAATTAATTAAAAGTGAACAATACTTAAAGATTTATACTGGGGTGCACAACGTTTTGATGGAGGTTTGTACTGACATTCCTGGTCGTATCCGCATTGCCGGTCACTGGTGTGCGATCTATTATAAAGGGCAAAAACGTGTTTGTTTTTCATGTAACGCGGAGGGTCATGTTAGTCGTAAGTGCCCTTCAAAAACTGTTCCATCTGCTTCTGCTAAAGTCGGTGCCTCTTTGAGAGGGCCTGTTCCCTTATCTTCCGATGTTAATGTTGGTGCTGCCACATCTATTGCCCCTGCTGGTGCTTGTATCTCGCCGGCACATCCTGTTCTGGTGAATGTTGTTCCTACACCTGGCTCCCTGGTGGATGGTGGTGTTACCACTGCATGCTGCTGGTGAGCAGTTAGATCTTTTTTCGGATGTAGTTCACAACTTGGTTGCGTTGGTTGTTGATCATTCTGATGATTATGCTCATGGTGTTGATCCTAACTGGAAGCAATCTGCTTCATCGCAAGTTCTTGCCCAAGCTGGTAGTGCTGATCTTGGTGTTGGCTCTTTTAGTCCTGAAACATCTGTCTTGTCACCAGTTCCATTGCGTCCGGCTGTGTTAGGTGCCAAGCGCTTTGGGTCACGGTCTTGTTCAGCATCTCTGTCTAAGTCTCGTTTGCCTTTGCATAAGGGTAGTCGGGCTGCTGTTTTGTCGTCTGATTGCGCGAGTGATGATGCTCATTCGGATGAATACTCCCTAGAGTCGGAAGTGGTCTCATGACGACTGGTGATGACGACTTACCTTTTCCTGATAATTTCTTCGTATCGTTTTCTGGATTTGAAACTCAGGCTGACCCTTTAACCCAGTACACTGCTATTCTTCTCTGCCTACACAGGATAGGGTTAATTTTCTTTCAGAACCAGAGGCTTTGCAAGTCTCTGAGGAATCTGCATTTATTGCAAAATTGTTTTCAACATCTGCCTCTCCTTTTGGCGAGGTAGAACCTTCTGAGTAGATCTTATTATTGATCTTAGAATTAACATAGTTCCATAGTTTTGATTTCGAGTGAAAAGATCGGCGTTCGGGATTTGGAGGTGGTGTTGGCGTGTACATAAAGCAAGATGTGCCATACCGCCGCCGTTATGATCTGGAGGCAGAGCATGAAAACATTGAATGTATCTGGATCGAGGTCTTATTTCCGAAGTCCAAAGGTATTATGATTGGTAACATTTATAGACCCCCTGATACTTCCAAGTATTCGGATACTGATTTTAATGATAAACTGGATGAAGTTTTGAATGCTGTGTCTGATGAGAAAAAGGAAATTTTATTACTTGGTGATCTAAATTGCAACTTTCTTCAGTCTGCCTGCAAAAGACAGCTGAAGCAAGTATTTAGTATGCATGGCCTTAAACAAATTATTCAAAATGCCACCAGAATAACAAAGTCGTCTGCATCGTTAATTGACATTGTTCTCTCTTCTAATCCCGAAAGAATAATTAAGTCAAAAGTTATT